TGAAGAAATTGGCTTTGTTATTGTGGTAGCTTATTTGGGGGTTTTTAGGGGCGTGATGTAGGGGTGCTGACTCTGGAGGAAGGAGGAAAGAGTCAGGGGGAACAGTGAGAAGCAGCCGAAGTGCAGGCCTCTGAGCAAGGTTTTGGGGGGGCTGTTGGCTGCTTGGAGGTGCTTGATTCTGGGTGGGATTAAAAGTGGGGCTTGACCACTGTCGATCCCTGCATCCAGGCTGGAGCTGAGGTGGACGCTGGCCTGCTTTCTTTCTCTCCTTTGGATGTTTGGCATGCAGTGTTTTTGCCCCCAGGCTTGGTAGACCCCCCCCAAGCTAAGCCTAAGCCAACACTGTGATGCAGCGGCAAAAAAAGCCAACACAGTTCTGGGTAGCAGAATGGAAAGACAGTCTCCGACTCAAGGGAGAAAACAGCGCCACTCAATTCTGCTTTAACCAGGCATCGCCTGTGTCTAGTGTGGGGCAGCTCCATGAAAAAGGATCTCAGGAATCCTGTATCGTACCCAGATGAGGTTGACCCAAATGGGGAAAGGGGAGGAAAGCAAGCTTTATGAGGATTCCCTCGGGAAGGGGTGGCCTTGCCCTGGTTTTTGGTTTTGGCTGCGGGTTTCCTACGCAGGCAGAGGGCAGGGCAGCGATACTTGTCCTCTCCTGAGAGGTTGTCAACCTATTTTCAAGCAACGATGTGCTTTTGAAATTTCTTTTTAGTTTTGTCTGTCGGTTTGATATGAGGATCTGTCCAACTGTGTTATAATAGTGTAACGACTGTTTTGGTTGGGTGCGCTTGCTACTCGTGTTGGGAGATGTGGGAGAAAAGTGGGAGAGTAAATGTGTTACTTTACGTCTCCTTAAGTTGCATCGGGAGTTTGGTGACCCTAATAGGGTTACATAGGGTTGCATTTCTAGGTTTCTAGTGGGGATTTGAACCCAGGACTCCTGAGTCCGTTGCTCTGTCTCTTACTCCACCCTGGATTTTCAGAAACAGATTAATTAATTATTACTAGGGAGCAGTGGCTTTCCACCTTTGGCCTTTTGTGTCCCAGAAGCCCCTGCCGGGCACACATCTGAGTATAAAGGATTCTGAGATCTGGAGGAGAATCAAAGGCTTCATTGCTCCATGTGGAGCAATGAAGACGTACTGTAGTGTATTAAGAACATAAACCCTGACGGATGGATCCATTCTGGGAAAAAGAACCGTAACCTTGGGGGGCTGGGCAGCCTCTTTGATTTGGATATATTATTGCATAGATCTATTGAGTAAAAAAATCAGATAAATTATATGACCAGTGAAGTTGTGGGAGCGTATAGACTGAAAGATGGATGCTGATGATGGATAAACAGTCCGTTAATGATGTAGACGTACCATATTTTTTTCCATGTATAAGACTATACTTTTGTCTAAAATCTTTAGAATAAAAATTGAGGGTCGTCTTATACACGGAAGTAAGCCGAGGAGAGAACAAAAACAAGTGGAAGGGAAAGCAGGGATCAAAGCGATCCTGCAGGGCTTTGATCCCTTTCCCCCTTACACTTGCTGAATCCCACTTAGAACAGTGGGGGGTGTCTTATACATGGGGAAATTATAGATGTTTTCCATTCTGGCTTCAAATGCAGTTATGGCCTTTCAGTTGGATGACCTGCACCAGAAACTGGGCTTATGGTGTGTGTTTCTCTGTTGTTTCTGCTGCAATCTCTTGATGGCTTGTGATGCTGTTGACTGTGAGATCCTTCTGGGATTCTCTGTCTTGGTCGGGGCTGGGGAACACTGTTTTGCAGAAGTGTTGGTCCTTCCCGGAGGGAAGATACTCAACATGTAGGGCTCCTGAGGTTGGGAGTTCAATTCCCCGCTGTGCCTCCTTGACGGGGGTGTGTGGACTTGACGATCCGTAAGATCCCTTCCTGTTCTGCAGTTCTAAGATGACGATGACCAACCCGGAGGTTGATCTAGACAGATCAGAGAAGAATACAAAGATCCAAAATATACTGGATGGGTTTAGATCCCATACGGTCCACTTCTCCATTCAGACTTGACCTGGTTAGGCCCAATTTGGGGTGTTGCCCTGGGAGTTGCGAGTCCATTTCTGGGCCCAACGGAGACTCCCCTTTGTTTGCTCAGGAGTTGCATTGCACCCTCCCGAGTGGATCAGGCCCCGTTGGGTCTGGTCAGACGTCCCTTCCTGAAATAAATCTGCCCTGGACGGACAATTATAGCTGCCTGTCCTTTTGAGAGCTGCAGATGGCACCCCTCCCCTGCTTTCCCAGGATCTTTTGGGAAGCGGGGGGGCCTGATCCGCCCCCTCCCACCCACACTGGATCCAGTGATGGAACGAGAAACGAAGACTATAAACCCCAACGATGATGGGTTCCCCCCCCCCAAAGCGTACACAGATGGGTGCCGAAAGTGGACTGGGATTCCCACCCAAGTGTGGTATAGCCGTGTGCGAACATTTCACGGGGGTAAGCGTGGCCTCTTGGATGTGATGGTGCCGATTCCCACCCTCCGCTGTGAGCGTTGCTTTGGGAAACCCCCGGGCACGTTGCTGCTGGAGACAGAAGAACGCCCAGTGTCTCCTGGAAGGTCTAAGAAGCTAATCCTTGTTAATCCCAAGGCTCGGTGGAGGAAAGCATTCGTTGGACAGATTTAGACTTCTCTGCTCCCCTTCCCCCACTTCGGGGGGGGGACCTCTCTGGTCCCTTCTTCCGGACGGAGGGGGTCCTTCCGAGGCGAGCATCATGAAAACGGCTGGGTCCGAGCGCTCCCTTCCCTTTGTGGGACCTATTTCTCAGACCTCTCCCAAGGCTCTTTATCTGTCACTCCCGGCTTCTCAGGTCGTGGAACACCTCGGTGTGTTTGCAAATCCAGCTCCCTTTGCTCAACCTGAGCTGTCAGGTCAGCCTGAAGCTCGGCCTCCACCTCCCCACCCCCCACCCCCGTCTTGCCTCCTCCTCTGCAAACTTTTGAAGCCAGTATTTTGAGGACAGAGGCTGCCTTCCGAGAACAGCCCGGCCTTCCGCACATGCCCAGAGGCGTCCTTGCCCATTTCAACAGGGCGCGATGCTGAGGAATGGGTGTCTTGGCCGGAAGCCGGGGTTCCAAGAGAGCGCGGCACTCTGCACATGTTCGGAGGAACTCTTTGTCGCTCACTCGGCGGCCTCCTGGCTGCAGAAGTTGGGAGGTGCAATCGGATTACCCTGAGGGGCGGCCAGGGAAGCCCGGCGCTCTGCACGTACCCAGAGGCCCCCTCTTGAAAAATCTTCAAGAAAAGTGAGACCACCACTTACACTCTGGGGATGCTCAGAGGCATCCTGCGGTGCAAGGTTAAGAAGTTGAAGGGGAGCGCCGGGAGAATCCCCTGCGCTCTCAGAGCCGGCCCTCTGCACATGCCCAGAGTTCACCTCGCCTCTCCAGCGAGGGCAGCGNGGCGGCCCTAATCCGGCGCCCGCCTGGGAGCGGCGCAGCCCGGCGGTGGCGACTTCTCCCGGGCCAGGAGGAGCCCAGGCGGCTTCTCCTCCGCTTCTTCCTCCTCCTGCCACGGTAAGCGCCGCTTCTGAAACTAAGGGAGAGGGGGTTTCCCAGAGTGGGCGAAGGAAAGAGAATCCGGAGTGACTCCGGAACAGCCGGGACTGCTTAATCCGGCGCCCGCCTGGGAGCGGCGCAGCCCGGCGGTGGCGACTTCTCCCGGGCCAGGAGGAGCCCAGGCGGCTTCTCCTCCGCTTCTTCCTCCTCCTGCCACGGTAAGCGCCGCTTCTGAAACTAAGGGAGAGGGGGTTTCCCAGAGTGGGCGAAGGAAAGAGAATCCGGAGTGACTCCGGAACAGCCGGGACTGCTCCCGATTCCCCCACCCTACCTAGCTAAGCCTGGTGAAGTCAGTCCTCGCTTGCGCTTGCCTCGCGACGCCGTGCTCCCCGCTCCTCCTGCTCCTCTTCTCCCTCTCCGCTCCGAATCGGAATCCGGATTGCGTCAGGCAGCTTTGCCGCACCGCCGCGGCGCATTGCTGCGGCCCTTCGGGGCAGCCCTTCCCTGTCCTCCCCCCTCCCCCCACGCACACACCTTGCCTACCCTGGGATGTCCTCTGCCAGGGCTCCCGGGGAAAGGGAGGGGATGATGGGGTCCGGAGTGGCTTACTCCGGATCAGCGTGTTCCCACTGCCCCAGCGGACCCGGTTGGGCTGCTGCGGTGCGGTGCCCAATGATGGAAATCGGGGGACTTGGACTTGAGGGGAATGCCGTATGCGGGAGGGCGGACTACAACGCCCAGAATCCCCAGACGCGGGACTGGGGATTCTGGGCGCTGTGGTCCACAACGGACCGTCCCGAACTCGGAAATCTGGAGAGGGCGCAGAAGGTCGGGCTCCTGTGCAGTTTGGTTTTATTTAAAGTCCTTCACGAAACTACACATCCCAGGATGCCGTGGGGCGGAGTCTCGGCTGTTAAAGCGGTATCAGCCCCCTTAGAAACGTGTAGATGGGAGCGAATAACTCCCGTATTCGGAGTTGAGCTGGGGGGTGGGCTTTGCTCCTTTCATCCTCCGGGGTCTTACCCGGAACCCGTTTGGAAAAAACTGGCAGTCTTCTCTGGGAATTGTAATAATACAAACCAAGGAGGACTCTGAGCATATGCAGAGTTCTTTTCCATCATGTGCTTTTTTCTCTCCTCTTCTGCCAATCCAGGGGCACCTGAATTGAAAGAGGCAGTAGCTTATGGGTCTCTGGAGTAGGTTGATTCTCCCCCCCCCCAGTGCATGTTGACGGGCTGGCTACCAGGATCATCCAGAGAATCCCGATTCCTGGCTGGGACTGGAATCATTTTTATTTACTGTATTTTATTTATTTATCATTTGCCATGTCCCAGGACAATGCCTCCATAATGTGCAATTTTATTTTATTTGATCATGATTGTTCTGCATTTTATTTATTTGTTTTATTATGTTTTGTAAGTAGTCTTGCCATTAAAAAAAAAAGCAAACCCCCCCCCACCCCAGTGCTCAAGGCGTTAACAGTATTAAAACATTTTAAGGTGGGAGATTCATGGCCATCCGGTATGGTGGTAGCTTTATACGGTGATTAGATAGATGAAAAGGAAGAAGCATGGGGGAGGGTCTAATCATGGCTACAAAGTCGTGACAGCTAGGGTAGAACTTCCAGATGTAAACACAGTCTATCTTTGAGTGCCAGAGAAAGGACGTGAACAGCAGAAAAGGAATCCTACATTTTTCCTCCAAGCCTCCACATCAGATCAGCAACACACACAAACACACACACACACCCCATTTTTGGCAGCTTTCTCTATCTAGCAAGACTACACACACACACACACACACACACCATTTCTGGCAGCTTTCTCTATCTAGCAAGAATAGAACCCAAACATTTGTGCATTTTCAGTTCTCTCGCAACAAAACCAGCTGCGATTCAGGCACAGAAAGAATGATTTGCTTCAGAGAAAATCTGAAACAAGGAAGAGTGAGCAGGGCTGGGGAGCTGGCTTCTGATGCAGAGATTTTGACACAGGTGTGTCGCGGCAAAACTGACAAAGGAGTTTTGTGTTTCCTTGTAGATTGCAGCATGTCTTTATTTGTCAGAAGATTTTGTAGAGAGGTTCCTTGTGGTGGACAGAATGTCCTCCATCCCATTCTTTGTCTTACGGCTATGACAATGATCCCGTATCTAGAAACAGTGCTCCATCAAACTGGAAAAGGCATCTGATTGGAAAAGGCCTATAAAAGCAGTACCAGGAGTGATGCTCTGTTATGTTAATATTCTCCCTCCTTATTGTAATGAATTGGAGTGTGCAGTACGTCAGAGCTCAAAATCAAATTCTGGAAGGTGGACGTCCTCAACCCTCCCACCCCCAGGGACCCTCTGTGAAAGCTGAATAACTGAGGCCCCACATGGCAATGCATAACAGCTGCTTTGTTTAGGGTAGCATTGCTTGGTATGCCAAGGTATTTAACAGAAATCAATCTGTTGGTTTCAAGGCAGGGGGTTAATCAGCTGAAAGCCTCCTTCAGTTGGTAGGCAGTGCTTGTGGCCACTCGGGCTGAGCAGGGATCAGTAATGCCATTAACTCACCTTGATCAGTTTTCCTTCCCAGTAGGTTAAGCTGGGTGATGGCTAGATTAGGCTTTCTAGAGGTGGGCAATATTTCCACCAGCGGAGCATGAGATGCAGGATCGGGGAGGGTTTCAGGCAGGGTGGCGTGAGTGAGATCCGGCTGTTTCTCATGAGTCTGCCTGGGTATTCAGATCTTCAAAAGGCGCCTTTCTCTCAGGCCTCACACCTTCACAGAGATGCACGGTGGGGACACAAGAGAGGGCTTTTTCTCTGGCTGCTCCCGGAGACTTTGGAACTCCCTGCCACTGGAGGCCAGACCGGCCCCATCTTGGCTTTCCTTCTGCAAGCAGCTTTCTGTTCAGGCAAGCGTTCCTGTAAATGCCTGGCTGACTAAGTGGATTTTTTTTGCCCCATCTTGGCTGTCCCTCTGCAAGCAGCTAAAAGAAGACTTTTCTCTTCAGGCAAGCATTCCTGTAAATGCCTGGCTGACCAAGTAGATTTTAAAAAAAAAGGATTAGTGCATTCAGTTGTTTTACTCATGCTTTTAATATTGCTCTTATTTACTTTAATATATCGGTTCAGTTCTTCTTCTTTTTAAATATTGTAATAATTTATTATTTTAGTGTTTGACTTTGTTTCTTTTAATACTGTAAGCCGCTTTGGGTCCTGTAGGAGAAGGGCATCAGATAAATATTGTATGTAAATAAATAATAAATATAAAGATGCAGGAAACCGTCCTGTCTTGTCCCCCCACCCCCAATTACTCAGATGGCTTCTCGGTCGCCCATCTATGAGCTGATGGGTGAGAAAGTTGGGGATTTCTTTTTGATTTGCCAGATTTGCCAACCTTTACAGCCTTCTCTATGTTTGGGACGTGAAGAATTTGGAAAGTTAAACATTTCAGAGGTGGGAAAGAAACCAGACCTGCCTTATTCACCCATCTAGGTTGGAATTCCTGTTTATCTAATGGTATAAAAGTTGGATTAAAGTTGCCACCCCCTCTTTTTTTAAATCAGAGGGCTCCTATTCCGTAATGTCTATTTGAGCGGCAGGTAGAACCAGCCCATGCAAAGTTCAATTTTAAAAAAGTAACTCGTTCCAATTTGCATGTCACCCTCAATAGATCCTACTTGTGCAGTCAGTAAATATTACTCTTCATGCTCCCTTTATTCAGGAATGGTTATGCAGTTACTTTAAGTTCCTTAAAAAAAAAAAACAGGATGCAAAAAAATCAAACCCCTGGCTCCACAGGAGTATATTTGGCTTCGAAATCACTGCCTCGAGGCACATGTAGAATTTTGCTAGGACGGGGCCGTGCAAATAAAAGCCACAGCCGCTGCAGTGCGCATGCACACACAGGCTGCCTCTCTCTCTCTGACTCCCGTTTGCGTAGAAGCCCTGTAGCAAAATATTCCATTTGCAGCCTTGATCTGGGATAGGCATGGCTTCGTCGATCTCTGAAGCTGGGAGTGCGTGGAAGGTATGGTGTCGAAGTTTGTAGACTAGAGAGGTGAGCAGGGAGAGAGCTCAATTTGGTGGCAGGATTTTGCCCTCTGTGGAAAACTTACTTGTCTTTTTGGGGTGGGGGGCACCCATCGAAGAGGGAAGAATTGCAAACAAGTCGGGTGGTGGGCATTTCATTGAAACGGTGGTTCCGAGGCCCAGCTGAGAAGCAGCTGGTGTCCATTTCCTCGACCTTCTTGGTCCAAATGTTAACAGAATCCGGACTTGAACCCATGCCAGTCTGTGCTCCCCTAAATCGAGAAGCTTTTAGAGACACCGCAGTTAAAAAGAATACAAAAAAGTAGCCCGGTGATCAATAATTGCGGTTGGGTACAAAAATGGCATTCCGCAGCTCACGGCCAAGTAACAAACGAAGCAAGTTTTTGAGTCTCAAAGGTCTCTTAATCAGGTGTTGTGTGTTTCATGGTTTGGGGCTGGGGGAAGAAGCAGAATGCTGAGAAATTCTGGGGAGATGGAGCAGTCCCTGGACGAAAGAGTGCCTTTCACGCTCCTGACACGTTGGGTGGGAGATTGCTAATCCGTTGCAAAATAAGGGGTCTGGATACCATCCCTTGAGAAAAGTCTATTTGATTGCCATCCACTGCTTTGAAGCCTTGGGGGGGGGAGGGACTCCGAGTGGAAAAACAGAGGCCGTCAGCGAAACGGGAGGCTGAGTTGTCCTGTGAAGTTAAACATTGAGCTGAAGGCCAAGCGGGTCATCTAGCCTAGTGGTTAGAGGAAGTGGAGTCCTCCCTATAGCACAGTGCTGGAGGAGAAGCAATAGAGAGCTGTTTCTTGATTTTCCTACAAGATCTGGAATTCAGTGCCAAAGTTTCCCCTTGGAAATGTTTCCACCTTTCCAGTTTTCAGTTGAGTTCGTACACCTCATAGGTCCTCTGATTTCTTTTCGTCATGGCCGGACTCTGTCTCTCCCATTTCTCTGGAGGGGGCAGGAGAACCTCTGGAATAAAGGATAGTTGGCCCACACTGGGGCTGCATTAGACCTTAAGCATTCAGGCTTTGATGGTCTTACATGTGTCTGGATTGCCTGGCCACACCTCTGTCTACTTAAAATATCCCAGCTATTGAGGGGACACACACACACACACAACGGATTTATTTATTCCCCCTTTCCTTTGGATGGGGACCGGAGGTGATGCTTGGCGGTCTCAGATAGCAATCTCTTGATTTCTGAGATTGTCACAAAATTTGTTCTATGATTTTCCTTTTTTGTGTGTGCTGTTCTTCCAAAGTTAGACATTTATGATGGCCCACAGTCTTGATCTCGCTTAGGAACTTGATTCTTCTCTCGAGACAAGCAAGTTCAGTTCAGTGTGGATGAGAATTTGACTGGAAACGTGCTGCCTGGGGGTCTGGAAAGAATTTGCAACTTTTAATACGTGGAATGTGGGAGAAAACGAGCCTGATGGGTTCCTCCATCCAGGCTCAAGACTTGGGAGTGTGTAGCTCTTCAAAACATCTGGATGTCGTGCAATTATGCATTTGTGCATTCATTCATTCTTTCTTTCTCATAATAATAGAATCTTAAAATCATGGAGTTGGAAGGGTCCTCTAAGGCCATAGAGTCCAACTCCCCACTCATGGCAGGACTCAAATCAAAGCAGATCTGACCGATGTTGGTCCAATCATCTCCTAAATGCCTCCAGTGTTGGAGCACTCATCACCTTCTGAAGTCTATGCCTCCAGTGTTGGAGTGCTCGTCACCTTCCGAAGCCATTGGTTCTATTGTCATAGGTTTCCAGAAAAAGCAAAAAAAATTATAAAGAATTAGGGAAGTGAGCAAAACAGGGCAAGCAGATGCAGGGGGTTTAGAAGTGAGGACTAGAAGCTTGATAAGTGTCCCGTGGTGGGTGCTGGGAATTGAACTGCACCGTCACTGGGCTTGCGGTGGGATAGGCTTAAATATTTTGGCGGTGCTTGTCCTAAAGCCGAAAGGCGTCTCTGTGGCCCTCTTCAAGGTCAGAACTGCCAAGCATGCGTGGCTGAGCGCATGGATCTGAGGTGGAACATTTACACAGGCGTAATGAGCACTATTGATTAGGATGGATGAGCAAAGCGCTGGTCCAGATGGTGCGCCATCAGTGGGGGAGGGGGGGGAAAAACTCTGACCCCATTCTGGCCTCGTCGCTTCGCCCACCCCCTACCCCCAGGCCAGCCACTGCTCTTCCCAAGCCATCATCCAAAGGGTGAAAGCAGCCTCCGTCTGCCTGTTTGGGAGAGGAGTAAAAATGAAAGTGCACCAATTTACCCATCGTACTGTATAGTGGTGGCAGCGCATAAACGTCCTGTTTTCAAGACTATTTTCCAGAAAGCCACCTATTTCTGTCCATGAGCATTTTAATTTTTAAATTATTTTTAAAAGGTTTATATGTTGTCTTTTCTGTGTTCTGGGCAAGCATTTGAATGATGTTGTGTCTGCAAACATACTTCTTGGTTATTCTTTGTATCTCTTACTCATCCACTGGGAAACAACCCCTGGAACCCAAAATTTGTTGGGTGTCTTAGTTGGACACATCGTTTTAGAGGATCGTGACCCTGCCTTGAACCTGGGGATTATTGTCAAGGGAACCTTGTGGCCGTGGATTTAAGGGTTGTTGAGTCCACCACTGATTTTGCTATAGGCTGTATGGGAGCTCTCCTTGGTCCTGAATCCTCGCCTTCTGCAAGATTCAGCACCCTGGACAGAGCTCCAGAGGGAACCCTGAAGTGACCATACTATTTTGAAGGTCCCCTTTTTCCCAACTCTTTGCGTGATGGCTCGCTGGAAAAATCTCCCTCAGACAGGTAGAGCCTTAATGTGAGAACTGTCCAGGAGTGACTTTATAGTAATTGCTTTGTACTTCCAAAGTGTTATGAGAGACAACCTACTTATTTATTTTATTTTATAATTTAAAATAGCTTTTACGCAGCCTTTCTCCTTAAAAAGAACCCACAGCCACTTACATCATTAAAAGACACTATTTTAAAACTAACATTATACAAATACTAAAAAGCATCGGACGGATACCATATTTTTTTTTAAAAAAAATAACACCAAAAGACATTCAATGCAATAAGGCACATCCCTTCAGAAAAGGCACTGAGGGAAAGTTTGCATGAACACCTTTGCCTGAATGAGGACAGCAATGACGGAGCCGGCCTGGCCTCTAGTGGGAGGGAGTTCCAGAGGCTCTGGGAGCAGCCACAGAGAAGGCCCTCTCTTGAGTTCCCACCAAATGTCCCTGTGAAGGTGGCGGGAGCGAGAGAAAGGCCTCCTCTGAGGATCTCAACGGGCTCATAAAGGGAGAGGCAGGCCTTGAGAGAGCTCGGGTGTAAGCCATTTGGGGCTTGATAGATGGAAATATGTGGGTAAGGTTTTAGATCTGGCAAAACCTAGCTGTTCCCTCTGGGATTTTTGTGTGTGCCTGTTCCTCACCCACGCTGGCATAATTCACATGGCATCAATTGCAGCAGCTGACTGACTCTGGTTAAGAATTTGGCCCTTGTCTTCTTCCTTTGTTGTGTGCCAGTCACAAGGCTTTGGGATACCATGGGAATATAAGTATCAGCATCTTAACAAGCAGCGCTTGAGTACTACGATTTCTGCCATTTGACTTAACCCTGTGAACGGAAGTCACAGGTTCCCCACTGCGGTGTAGCGGACCGAGTGGCAGATTAAGACTCAGGGGACCTGCGTTCGAATCCCTGCTTAGCTGTAGAAACTTAGCGGAGTGCGTGGGCACAGAAAAGGTTTTTTTAAAAAAAGCCTGAATTATTTCCCTTAACTTGAAAAGCTTCATTAGGGTCACTGTCGATCTGTTCCATGACCTACGAGAGGATTCAGGCCAGAGTTTCTGATAAAAATGTGTCATCGTCAAGCGGATGTGGGACACGATGTAGGTCTGGAAGCTGGGGGAGGGTCTTGGAGAGTCTCTGAATGTTTCCACTGCCGGCCGGGCATCATCTTTTCTCTGTCTTCTGGGTTTGCTCCTCCTGTTTGGCTCCCTGGTTCCTTTTTCTTCGCCTCTTATCCCCTGCTCTGCCCCGAACTCTTGACTCAGGTGATGGCAGAGGAGAAGGAAGAGGAAGAGGAGGAGGAGGAGGAGGAAGAAGAAGAGGCACCCCTGGAAGCCCCAGAGGAGTTCAGGGGGCCCCCACCCTCTGCACCAGAGATGCCCTATGATGCTGCCCTTAGAGACGGCGCCCACTCTGGCCTAGCCGGGAGGCCCGACGAGTCCTTTAAAACCCCTCGGGAGCACGCAGTAAGAGTTGAAACGTGGCGCTGAAAAGCCCTCCTGGCTTCCCCTCTGTGGGTCCCGATCCAAGCTCCCTCAAGCCAATATGCTTCCCCCCCCCCCAGATTCTGTCTTGTCTTCAGATTCTCCCTCCTTCGCCGTTTCAACATGTGTCGCATTTAGGAACCAAGAGGAAAATCTTCCCCTCTCCTCATGTCCTCAGCCCTCCTTCACCCTCCGCCCCCTCTTGAATGCCATGTTGAGGAGACGTTCTGAAATGTCATCCTGGAATGGGCCCATGTCATGAGGCTAGTCCTCAGGGTGGGTTCCTCTCTTTTCTTCTCTCTCTCCTAAAGGAGTGAAGCGCATCGGGTCTTGATGAAAGGAAAGAAGAAGAAAAAGGCAACCTAGAAACAATCAGATGGTTTGCCTGTTTTTGTCTGGGGTTTCTTGTTGAGTAGGATGATACCTAAATAAAAATGTTAGCATCGTGGACTTGACAGAGGAGCATCCGTAGGTGGTGATGCTCACAGGATGTGTCTCCATGGATGATCCGCTGGGTTGGCCATGGAGCCACAAGAGGTATAAGTATCTGGAGAGACACCGGATTGGGGAAGGAAGGTTTGTAACGTACTTTTAGCACGTCTCAGAATTAGACAGAAGGTCGAATTCAGAACTGGACTTTAAACAAATTACTTGTCTCCCGGTGTGTTCTTTGAAGTTCATCAGGGTTGTGTAGGGTTTTTAAAATTTGTTTATTTGCCTTGATCAACCCTATATTCCGGGCTGAGCACCATTTATTATTGCATTTATTATCTAATCAGTTTTTGATCGCCTTACTGGAACTTAGATCTCCCTTTTATATGGAAACCTGTGCGTTTTGGTGTTGTGATGGATACTTTGGTGACGCATGGATGTATTTGTGTCTTACCCCGGTTGTTCCCTTCTCAAACTCTACATGCAAGAGCCTGGAATAACTCTCTTTCTTTGGGGTGGGGTGGAATCGAGAGAAGGTACCTAGATTTGAGACATCAGGGCAGCGGGGTTGTGGAGCAGTGGCCTCGGAGTGGCTTTGGGCCAGAGTGCTTGTGAGATCCCCCCCCTCCCCGGTGATGCTTGAAGCTTGGACAGACAGACATCCGGTGGGGTTCAGATTGTGTAGGCTGGTGGCTTCCTTTCTCCGCTTGAACATTGGGGTGGGATCTCCAATGGAGGTCTCCTTAGAGTACGGAGAGGTGCGCCCCGAACAAAACTCAAAGCTCTCTGTGATTTTCCTCTGCCTCTTCTGCCATGGCTGCCTCTGACTTCTTCCCCTGCTCAGATAAAAGATCTCTTGAAAGAAGACTGCAAAGAAGCAGAACTGGTTCCATTCCTCGGTGGCTGCCCGGCTCAGGAGCCGGAAGAAGATACCCAGAAACATCGAATCCTGGAGCGTCCAGAGGCTGAGATGACCAGCATGGCCGCTAGGACCCACCCTGAAGAGACGGATCAGAAGGCGTTCCATCGCCCCAGGCCGTTGGACTTCAATATTGCTCCTCCAGCACCTTCCAGTCCCTCCCGGCCGAGAAGCCCCTGGGGCCGACTGGACCCCTATGAGTCCGAGGAGGTGGGGCAGTCTCTCTGGGTTGGCCCTCATCCCCCCCCATCCCCGGAGATCAGAGTTCGGGGAGTGCCCTTCCCAGAATCCAAAGCCGGTGTCATTTCAAATTCTACCGGTTTCCCAACCACACTTTTATTTTTTCTGCTTTCTTCCCTCCCCGCCCACCCCAGGGTGACAAACAGTACATTGGTTTTGCGACCCTGCCAAACCAGATCCACCGCAAATCTGTGAAGAAGGGCTTTGAATTCACCCTTCTGGTGTCAGGTAAATATTCAGGCGGGGGTTGTGTGGAAAGGGGTGGGGGTGGGTGGGGGTCTCCCATTTCTTTTCTTTTCATCTGCAGGAATATTAAAACTGGGACAGGCAGAACTGAGAGTTCCTGTCGAAACCAGCCATCAAGCTGTGCGCATCCTCCTGTTTAGAGCGAGGGTCTCTCTGACAGGAGGGCGCAGAGAGGAAAAGAAGGGGGTTTGGTCGTGTTCGATTTCCAAGTGAGGTCTGATTTTACAAATCAGCGCATTGCCAACCCCTTTTTAACCTCGTGTGCCCATGAATTTCTGGAAGTAGAGAGCAGGGTTGTTCTGCTTAATCGCCTCTAGTGACTCAAACTCCTTGCTAGGCAACCACACGGGGGACTGTCGGAAGGAGGTACATTCTGCAGAGCTGGAATTAAGGCAAGCTGCCTGGAGCTTAGCCCCACGGTGCTGATATTTGCAGGGTCCGAACATTTACTGATGGAATGGTGTAAACCCACCCACCCTGGGTCTTTACTGCCTCCAGCGGATCTTCCGGGGGCAGACGGAAACCTAAGCTGGGTGGGCTCTATGCAGATCCAAGCACAGCTGTTGCACAGTCCCACTAAACCACCTCTCCCTGTTCCATCATCCTCTGTGCATCTGCCAAGCTCATGTGCCCCAGGCTTAACCCGTAGGGCAGCAAATTTCAAGGTCCCCAAACGGTTAGGGGGAGATTTGACGGTCTCTCTGCTTCTTTCAGTGAAATCTGGATCCTTAGTCTGGATGGGGGCTGAGGGTGAGACACTCCGGGCTCTTCCCAAATGTTTCACCTTGGCACTCCTTTAAGGCCAAGCTCTGCTCAGATCCTGTGTGCTTGTCCAAATCCGCAGTTCATCCCGCAAAAAAACTCTCTGGGCCCATCATCTTAACTGGGGATGGTGGGGAGCTAGAACCTGGCTGGGTCTATTCCTGCTTTCTCGCTGTGCGCAGTGCCAGTTCCAACTCGCTGGTAGTTATAGTCTTGGTAAAAGAAGGAAGTGGTTTCGATATACTCCACCAAACCCTACTGCCTCTTTTTTGCTTCCTTCGCCCTCCCCCCCCCCCCCGGAGTAACCTATGCATTGAATGCTATTGATGGCTTCCTTCTCCTGATTTCTCTTCCCAGGAGAAAGTGGTCTGGGGAAATCCACGCTTATCAACAGCCTCTTCCTTACAGATTTATACAAAGACCGGAAATTGCTAAATGCTGAAGGTAAGCTTGACCCCTGAATCCTTTTCCCTCTACCGCCAACCCGGGTTCAAACCGTTATCTTTCTGCTCACTTATGTGGCTTCCCGGCTTATGGGAACACCGGGAATTTATGATCTCCAGGAGATCCCCCCCTGTTAACAGCCCAACGGTTCAGTCTTGCAAACTCTATGTTGTGGCTTCCTTTATTGGGTCATGGCATCTCACGACCAGTTTTTTTCCTCTTCCCCTGTGCTTTCAACATTCTGTAACATTATTTTCTTATTTTCTGACAAGGAACCGTGAAATTCTCTTTCATTCTCTTTGGCATGTTTTTTTTTAAATAAACCCTCAGGTTCTCTCCTGGGTCTGAAAACCTAGAGAAAAAAATTCTTTAAAAAAAAATAAAATAAGCTGACGTGAAATTTGGCCCGCTCTGTACAGATCCGAAAGGCACAACTTCTAGTCCCCAAATTGCCACCTGGGGCCACACGTGCAGCTGTTTCCCTCCTGACAGCCATTTGGATTGCTTCTAATGTTTGGGCCGGAGAAGGGCCGCTTACCATCTTGCTCCAGCCCTCCTTCAAACAACAACGGGTGTGTCTGTCTCTCTTTGGAGTACAAGATAGACTCGAGAGACCACCCAGAGAAAGACGTAGGGCAGGTCAACACACTTCCATCTCTGGCGGTACCCTTGTTTTTTTGAGGGGGGGGCTTGTTGGCTTTTTTTTTATTCACTGACTGGTGGTGGAGGCAGCCAATCAGTAACAATAACCCTGTGAGGGATGCCGGGTTGAGAAAGCCTGGCTGGGCCAGGCTCATCCAAAGAATTTCATGGCCAAATGGGGATTTGAATCCAGTTCTTCCCACACCTGGCCTGGTTCACTAACCACCACACACACTGTCTCCTGATCTGATTGATAATTAAATTGCGAGCAGACACTTTACCTAAGAAGAGAACTTGGAGGTTTGGCATTCTGCGCCCTGTATTTGGGGTTCTTGGCTTCTTGATAATATCCCTAATTTCCTCCTCTCTCTTCCTTGCTTCTTGATAATATCCCTAATTTCCTCCTCTCTCTTCCTTGCTTCTTGATAATATCCCTAATTTCCTCTTCTCTCTTCCTTGCTTTTCAATAACATCCCTAATTTCCTCGTCTCTCTTCCTTGCTTCTTGATAATATCCCTAATTTCCTCCTCTCTCTTCCTTGCTTCTTGATAATATCCCTAATTTCCTCCTCTCTCTTCCTTGCTTCTTGATAATATCCCTAATTTCCTCCTCTCTCTTCCTTGCTTTTCAATAACATCCCTAATTTCCTCCTCTCTCTTCCTTGCTTCTTGATAATATCCCTAATTTCTTCCTCTCTCTTCCTTGCTTTTCAATAACATCCCTAATTTCCTCCTCTCTCTTCCTTGCTTCTTGATAATATCCCTAATTTCCTCCTCTCTCTTCCTTGCTTCTTGATAATATCCCTAATTTCTTCCTCTCTCTTCCTTGCTTTTCAATAACATCCCTAATTTCCTCCTCTCTCTTCCTTGCTTCTTGATAATATCCCTAATTTCCTCCTCTCTCTTCCTTGCTTCTTGATAATATCTCTAATTTCCTCCTCTGTCTTCCTTGCTTTTCAATAACATCCCTAATTTCCTCCTCTCTCTTCCTCTCTCTTCCTCCTTTCCGTTGCCTAGAACGCATCCTGCAAACGGTGGAGATCACAAAGCATGTGGTCGATATTGAGGAGAAAGGCGTGAAGCTCCGTCTGACCATCGTGGATACGCCGGGCTTTGGGGATGCCATCGATAACACAGAGTGGTAGGAGGAGGAGAATTTTTCCTGGCAGCTTTACAGCAGAGCCGGCCATGGGGGAGAGGCTGGGGGGGGGAATCCCATTAAGGTCTCCATGCCTGTGGGGCTTCTTTGACCTTTGGGCCAAGGCCAAGACGGGGATCAAAATAATCTGTGAGAAACCCAGGCCAGGGGGCCGGAGACAGGCCTTGGTAAATCTCTCACTGGCTCGGGTTGTATGGGCTACGGGAGAGGCGAAAGGAGACGGAGGCCAAGCTGTGAGGATAGTGCTGGTGAGGACTTCCGGTGCCTTGTGAACGCCAGCCAGTCGTGTTCAGGCGGGACTCAGAGAGAAGTCGCTTTGAGCTTACGGAAAAAGCCGATCTCCAGCCGGCGGGGATTTTTCTCCCTCTGGCTGAGAGCGATTTTTGAGTGGCAGAAGAGATTGCCGGGCCCCTTGATGACTTCGGGGACCCCTGGTTTCTGCCCTCCGGAACTGCCGAAAGAGGGGAAGGAGAAAGGTCCCAGAAGGTGGTGGGGGCGGCGCACAAATCGGAAGGAAGCGGGTGTGGAACATGGGTTTGGTGGGCACCATGGGGTGGAGAATGGGCCCTGCAATCTCTCCAGAAGCCAAATTAATGCCGGCAGGGAATTGCTGGCTGTTACATGTTTAAAATAACTTGCCTTATAAGCGCCTTTGAGCTTTGTTATTCTTGGATTATTTCTCACTGAGATTCCGGCAGTGAACAAGGGGTTGGACTGGGTGGCACCGGCCCCTTCCAGATCCATGACTCTACGATGGCATAATTCTATGCTAACCTCGGGCAGGCTCTGCCTGGCATGAACCTACTTTAAAAGCCGCATGTTGGTCTAGCTAGGGGTGTCTTTAATGTCTATGGGGCAGAGCCACATCAAACGTCTTGGTCCTTTCCAAATCTCTGGATCTCTTTCCCCTCCCATCCCTAATATACACATCTTTATTTCCCCACCACCACCAGCTGGAAGCCCGTGGCGGACTACGTCGACCAGCAGTTCGAGCAGTACTTTCGGGATGAAAGCGGCCTGAACCGGAAGAATATACAAGACAACCGGGTCCACTGCTGCCTCTACTTCATCTCCCCCTTTGGGCATGGGTAGGCGGACCGGTTCGCGAGGGCCCCGTCCTTAGCCTGGGGCCTTGATCCGGATGTCTCCGGAGGAGACAGCTTCTTTCCGATGGCTCGTGGGGGTCAGTGCGCCAGTCCGGGTGGGGAGAGATTCTTGAGACGTCTTCTGTTCCTTCCCGACAGGCTTCGCCCCCTGGATGTGGAATTCATGAAGGCGCTCCATCGACGGGTCAACATCGTCCCGGTCTTGGCGAAATCGGATACCCTCTTGCCTTCAGAGGTGCTGAGGATGAAGAACAGGGTAAGAAAAGCAAGCCTCCCTCTCTCTGCCTAGGAGAGCCTCCTTTCTGTGTGATATCCAGCCTGACCCAAAACCCTGTTGGACTCCAAAGCTTGCCAATTTATGAACCGTCATCCTGTATAATTTGTCCCTCCAGCTAGAGGGAGATGGGCTTCCATCTGCTCTCAAGCTCCATTGTTGACATGCATCTCTCTCTCTCTTTTCTTTGCAGATCCGTGATGAGATTGATCAGTTCGGGATAAGGATCTACCAGTTTCCTGAGTGTGATTCAGATGAAGATGCTGATTTCAAGCTTCAAGATCAAGCGCTCAAGGTGAGCGGAAGAAAAGGGACCACTCCTTTCCCTGTTAGTTTTTTTTTAAATAAATAAATCCAGGAAGGGACCCATCTGGGGCCACTTCAAGGCTGAGAGCTTTGCCCAAGGCTGAAGGGCAAATTTCTGCAACGATGTTCTACCCATCACGTCTCATTGGATTTCTCCCACCTCCCAACCCTGCTCCTCGTTTGCCAGCCGTCTGACTCGACAGGACAACTTTCTACCTTCCCAAATATTTGCAGACCCGGCCAATATGTGCCAGATTTGCTGGCCGGGCTTCATCAAATGCAACGGGCACCAAGTCTGGGCACCAAGCCCGGGTGGCTCAGATCAAAGCCCGCCGGATGGAGGAGGAGACTGGTGGTCCCCCTCGAACGAATTGGGCCGGCCTCCACCCAGACACGGGTGCTGACCCATCCGAGCAGTTGGGCCAGCAAAATTCCTGGAAATGATGTGTGGCGTGGCAGGGAGGGGGTGCAGCCCAGTGGGGAGAGAGCCACTTTGGGGGGGGAATCCCACCTTCGGTCCCCAGCAACCCCAGGCGGAAACGGAAAGAGCTCGGCCTAGAATTTGACCGGCACCAAGATGGCTTCCAAATTCTAGGCCCAGCTCTTTCTGTTTCTACCAGGAGATGCTGGGGACCGAACACGGGATTTCCCTCAAAGTGGCTTCCTTGCAGCGGAACTGCAGCTCCTCCTTGTCACATCATTTCAAGGAATCTTGCTGGCCTAACCTTAGTCATGCTAATCATCATCATCATCATCATCATCATCATCATCATCATCATCATCATCATCATCATCACCACACGCTGTCAAGTCAGTTCTGATTTATGATGGCCCAAATCCCTTGTCCATAATCCTTTCCGTCCTCGGTAGC